TGAATGGGAGTTGTAAACAATCCATCGACCACAAAACTCAACAACAGTAAGTTGAAAAACGCCGTTTTGAACCCTTCGAAGTCTTTTCTTGGCTCAAAAAAAGTCAACCCTAGGATTTTGTTGACTTTTAAAGATCTTTGTCTAAGAAAATGGGAAAAAAAACGAACTCAAACATTATCCACTCGCTAGGAGGTGAATATTGTTGCATAGTCCGAGATAGCAAACCAATCAGATTGCTTAAATCACCAAGGTCACTGAGTGTGTATGTACTAAACTCATTAAGTATATACTAAAACAGTGGATAGTGTTTTTCGCGCGCTCTGATTGGCTACTCAATCAGTGAATATCCTGCACTATTCACTGATTCACCTCCAGTTACTCCGAGCGAGCGACGCCAAACTCGCGTAGGTTGCGAGCAAAATGCTTTCCCGGTTTGCTGCCGTAACAAACTAAGAAATTTCACAACTAATCAAGCAAGCTATTTCCAAAATACATGAAGAAGGTGACGAAGTTCGGTTTGGAAGTTTTAACAGGTAAAGCTTTGTCTTTTTGACTTGAATAGTTATCGATAAAACAGGTGAAAAAGTTTTTTGTTTACAAATGCAAATTAAGCTTAAGTCTTGCGTTACTTTATTTAGTTGACTTGTTCATAGATAAGCTTAAAACTAAATTTAATAATCTTTTTCACAGAATTATTTTAAATACAAACAGAATTCACAACTCCTTTTGAAGAAACTTTCCGCAAGAGCTAAACAAACGCCTTCAAAAGTTTTATTTGTAGCTAAGAAAAAGCGACGACCGCGGCCTTTCGGTCATCGCGCGCCAAAATTTTAATCGTTGGCAACAGTAAATGAGTTAAAAATCATCATTTTGTGCTCAATTATCTCACTGTTTTAGTATATACTAAAACAATTATTCACCTCAGTGTCGGTGGCTAGTAGTGGTTTTACCTCGCCGCTTCGCGGCCTCGGTAATTATCCAATACTAACCACCCCCACTTCGGTGAATAATTGTTATTTATTTACTTTTTTCAGAGAAGATGAACTTGATCCTGAATCAAACAAAGTGTAGCTAACTTAGCAAAGTGTTCTGATGATACATGTGTAAGAAAGTATGAATTTCAAGTACCTGTGTGAGAGTGAAATAAAATCAATAAAAATCTTAAAAATCGTATTCATGGAAAGATATGGGCTTTTTACTTCTTTGTAGCGGTTCAGCATGTACACTAATTACTTGAGCAACCAAAACAAAGTCATGAATATTCCAACCAACATGTTCTCTGCTTCTCCATATGGGGTGACGGGTTATCTTAACTTATTTGCCCTCAAGTAAAGTAAGTAAGTAGCTTTATTAAAGTGTAAGTCGTTCTAGCTTGACACACTAAAGAATAAAAAGGAAAGAAAACTAACTGTAAAACTATGGACCGGTCGGATTATTGAGTAATAAGCCAATGCAATACTTTCAAGCGTTCAATAGTGTAATATGCATTCATGATCAAGTGCGCCCAGCTTGGGAATGTTCAAGACTTGCCAGTCTGTTTTGCTAGGACAGCATTTTCCTCCGTTGTTCGGTAATAAAATTGCTAAATACGAAGAGAATGACCTCAAGGCATGTAGTGTTTTTATGCAGAATTAAGCCGTTAAAAAACGGAAACATATTATAGCCCGAAAAGTGAGTGCGTTCAAAGTCGCATCCGGTAAACCAAAACGCAAACATTGCAGTAAACGAATCTCACACGAACAGGAGGAAAAGGAGAATACTCAAAAGTGCAGGCTATTTAAACAAATGCCGCCTAAGAGGGCTCCAGTTTTTCTTCTTTCTCCTGGAATAAACACACGAGGGACGTCTTAACGCCATGTTGAATTTACTCTATGTCACGTGGACTGGTTTCGACCAATCAGACATTTTTTGCCAGTGAAGCGTGGATCCTAGCGAGCTACAAACTTGCAGCGCTCATCTTTACTTTATACATCCGATGGTGTCCGTTATGGCGTCATACAGTAGTTTGAGGTCACGGCGCATTTTTTGTTTCTAGGCAACATTCGACTGCAACCAAAGTATTCATGAAGGGCTTGTTCATCTTCTTCGAAACAGTGTTTGCCATCGGTGAATCTCAAACGATTTCTCATGCAAATTAAACAGAACAGCAAACACAAGAACGCCGAATTCAACAACCGGCCAATTCTCGCAGGGGAAGATTTGACACAGAAAAATCCTCTGGAGCGAGAACGCCGACTTAAAATTCATCGCGAGCAACGAAGAAAGAGACGGCAGCAACAAACAATTAGCCGTAAGATATGAGCGAAAATCGCCGTGACAAAACACGTTTTGCTCCCATACGAGTTTATACCGTATCGGTTTATGCACCAGTCAACTCCAGCTGCGCCAAGCTTCCCCCCCGGGGGGGCTACTGCGGGGCATTTGCAAATCTTGCGCTGCCAGGGGGCCGGGCATTTGCCAACCCCGAGCTTTTGACACGCACGCGGTTCCCTATTAGAATATAACTACACAGAGGATTTTACCGGAAAACAAGCAGATTGGTTCGTTTGTCAAGGACGGGAAACATTGAAGAGGTTTGTAAAGGTGTGTTCTCGATTTTATGCATGCATTTCTTCACTGCTTATCAAGCCAGAATTGTATAGCGAAACTCGGAAGCTATCAACGTGAATCAACGTTTTTTTGGTAATTGAATCAAGTTTCTCTTGATATTATTTGAAGAACATCCTTTCATATTTAATATATAGATTTAGCCAGGGCTAAAAGCGAAGCCCCAATTGATAAATTTGTAATTAAAATCAAATAATAAACTTGTAATCCACATATCAGTTAACGTAAGGGCACATTCATGTGACTTTTGAGGGAAAGTTTAAGTTATTTTAGAGTGAAGCATCTTACATCGAGTTGATAGCCTTACATGTACACCCAAAAAATAGCAAACATCTTCGATCACATTCAAGATCACAGTAGATTAGGCCTCGAAAACAAATTTGGAAAACAAACCAGGCAGGTGTTCGACAGGCCTAGGTGTACTTTAGAAATTCTTGCCAACAAATATGGGGGTGTGCAAACCAACGTTTTATACTTTTAATACATCACATCTGAAACGGTACTATTTATGTGAAAGGTTTGAACCCAGGAGTCATTTCAAAAGGTTGAGTTTGATCGTCCGGGTGAACGTAGTCCTGAATAGGACTGTTGTTGTTGACAGTGACTGACGTTTCGACAACCTGTGTGGTAGTCATCTTCAGAGTCAAAGTGAGTTGTATCACGTCAGTTGATGGCATTATACTCTGGTTATTGATATGATTGGTCAATTATGTCGCGATCTTATTGGTCGTCTGTCAGTTACGCCGTGATGTTATTGGCTATGAAGACTCGTAATCAGTGATTGGTGCGTTTCGATCCGTCTATTGTCGCAGTTAAACAGTCGTCTATTTTTAGTCAAATTGTTAGTTCTCCAGTTGTTCTCTCGTAGTTAGTTTTGCTTGATCTCGTCAATAAGTCGTCTGTACGGCGCTGGTAACTATTGACTACGATTCAGTGGCGTTTGTTCTAAGTTAGTAAACCAGCTTTCTAAAGTAAGACGTTGATAGTAGTCTGTAGAATACGTTATACATGTCGCAGAGTCCCAGTCAATTTGATGTTTCGTCTTTAAATGGTGCTCAGCAATGTGATTGTTGACGTCACCATTCCTCGTCGCGCGTTTGTGTTCGGTCAGTCGCGTGCTTAGGTTTCTGCCGGTTTCACCAATGTAAGAAGCCTGGCAGTCGCAGCATTAATTTTGATCTTGTATACTGCTCCCTGTCTGTCCTCCGGTTTGTCTTTGTCCTTGACATTAGTAAGCAGTCGCCGTAAAGTGGTTATCGGTTTGTGCGCAACACGTATATTGTAAGGTTGTAATATACGTGCAATAGTTTCAGAGGTGCCTCTGATGTACGGTATAGTCGCTGTCGTAACAGGGCCAGAGTTGGTCTGAGAGTTGGAATCAGTGTTACTGTGAGTGTTCCGTCTAACAAAGTCCGTGTTGTAATTGTTCTTACTAAAAACGTTGTTAAGATAATTAGTCTCGTCTTGTAGGCTGTCAGGTGAGTCGCAAACTAGTTGCGCTCGTCTCGTCAGAGTCCGGATAGTAGTAGCCTTGTGAGAGGTCGGGTTGTACGAAGACTGGTCTGGTAATCGGTCGGTATGTGTCGGCTTTCTGTAAATAGTCGTTTTTAGTTTGTTGTTGTCGCGAGTGACCAAGCAGTCTAGAAAAGAGGTATCTTACCATTTTCTTCCATCTCCTTGGTGAACTGTATGTCCGCGTTCTGTCGACTGACGAATCTAGACACAAACTACAGTCTACTGAGAACTTCATTGACGCCATTAAGACAATACAGATACCGGACGACCACAAACTAGTGTCCTTTGACGTGAAATCGCTGTTCACCAGTATTCCACTTCAACTGGCTCTAGACTGTACTGAGAACGCTATTAAGAACTCCACTGTTGAACTACCACTACCTACAGACGACATTATGGACCTTCTCAACCTCTGTTTGACTTCGACGTACTTTCAGTACAACGGCAAACACTACAAACAGTTACACGGTACAGCTATGGGCTCTCCAGTTTCTGTTGTTGTAGCAGAAATTGTCATGCAAAACATCGAGGAACAAGCCCTAGTTACCTACACGCGAACTGTACCTCTTTGGTTACGTTACGTTGACGACACATTCACCGCCGTACACAAAGACGGAATCGACGATTTTCTCGAACACCTTAACAGACAGAACGCGGACATACAGTTCACCAAGGAGATCGAAGAAAATGGTAAGATACCTTTTCTAGACTGCTTGGTCACTCGCGACAACAACAAACTAAAAACGACTATTTACAGAAAACCGACACATACCGACCGATTACTAGACCAGTCTTCGTACAACCCGACCTCTCACAAGGCTACTACTATCCGGACTCTGACGAGACGAGCGCAACTAGTTTGCGACTCACCTGACAGCCTACAAGACGAGACTGATTATCTTAACAACGTTTTTAGTAAGAACAATTACAACACGGACTTTGTTAGACGGAAAACTCACAGTAACACTGATTCCAACTCTCAGACCAACTCTGGCCCTGTTACGACAGCGACCATACCGTACATCAGAGGCACCTCTGAAACTATTGCACGTATATTACAACCTTACAATATACGTGTTGCGCACAAACCGATAACCACTTTACGGCGACTGCTTACTAATGTCAAGGACAAAGACAAACCGGAGGACAGACAGGGAGCAGTATACAAGATCAAAATTAATGCTGCGACTGCCAGGCTTCTTACATTGGTGAAACCGGCAGAAACCTAAGCACGCGACTGACCGAACACAAACGCGCGACGAGGAATGGTGACGTCAACAATCACATTGCTGAGCACCATTTAAAGACGAAACATCAAATTGACTGGGACTCTGCGACATGTATAACGTATTCTACAGACTACTATCAACGTCTTACTTTAGAAAGCTGGTTTACTAATTAGAACAAACGCCACTGAATCGTAGTCAACAGTTACCAGCGCCGTACAAACGACGTATTGACGAGATCAAGCAAAACTATCTACGAGAGAACAACTGGAGAACTAACAATTTGACTAAAAATAGACGACTGTTTAACTGCGAAAAATTTTATTTGGGTTTCCAACACAGCGATACCCTAGGTACCAGAGGATTTTTCTCGCGTGCGACGAGGAGCTTTGTCGACCGTAGGCTGACACGTACGGCCGACACGTCGAAGGCGCGAGGAAACACCTCAGAGCGCCTTGATTTGGCGTGTTAGATGGACCTTGGCTTTTTCTCTAATCTGTCAGTCAAACCGGCGGTCGCAGGACTATTAACTGGCTAATTCAAAACTAATTATCAAAAGAGGAACGACGTGCTCAAGCCTAAAGAAGAGTCAAGTTATTTTTTAAAAAACATAATGCTTTAAGAGCATTCTTGACTGAGTCACAATGCAAATCTCCATAATTCAATTAGCTCCAGTTTAGGCTGCAATCCAGTCGTTGAAATTGGATCTGTAAATCACTATCAGTGTGTGACGGGCGTCGATGAAACCGGAACATGGAACATTCCAGAACATGCCGGAACATCCCGGAACATGAAAAAACAAAAATAATTTTCATGAAAAAAAAAATTAATGATAATAATAAAATAATTTTTATAAAAATTAATAATAACATAAAATAACAAAAACCGAAAGAGAAAGAAATGAAGAAAAAAGAAACTCGTATCATCTCCGGGTATGAGAAAACAATATTTTGTCGCAAATAATTTGTGGGGCGAGGGTCCGTGGAAATGACAGTAATAAGTGAAGGTTTGCTTCTAAATTTAAAATATGTTAAAATGGGTCGCGAGGAGGGGGGGTTTCAAGCTTTTCTCACACAGCCACCCCTGGTAAATGTTTGCCATGCGGTTTAACGGTTATTCATCTACGGCTTTGCGACCGTAAGAAGAGCTTAGGGGCTCGTCGCTTTGGACGTTAGTAGATAAGATTCACATTTGCCGTGAATCAGTTGCAGTGGCAGTGGTAGGGTAGCGGTAGTCTCTAACTGTTATCAGTTAGCCTGAATTGTATCCGTCTCCCGAGTCGCAAGTGAAGTTTGCGACTCGAGGAGATGGCTGAAATTCAAGCTAGATCACAGCCCCCTATTTTCCTCCGCCAAGTTGAAGATTGCGATCGCCGCTGTCAAAGTGATTTGGGTATCCTCTGACGACTAAAATGGTGACAGTGAAGTGGGTGCTAATTCGAATGGTTTGCTAACGTGTGTGTGTGTGTGTGGAGCTACAACTTTTATGGGAGGGGCTGTTGAGATTCCCGTGATCATGCATGCAGATCCACACAGACTTTCAGACCCCAGACACGACACTGACACGACGGAACCAAGTGCTCCGAGATGATGATATATTTAGCAAGGTGGAACAAAAAAACAAACAAACAAAGACGGACGGTTCCTTTCCTTTCTATTCACCTTTGGCCCGGACACGTGACAAACGAATACTGTGATTCAGTGAATTTAACTGAAAAATAGTGTTTTCAGAAATAACAAGTCGCATAAACCTTTAAGTGTCTTCGATAAATTAGGCACGTGCATACCGTGCACACCGGTAACTACGCCCTGCGTTTCCTCGCTGAGTTCGAAAACTTGTGCTCTGAAGTATAAAAAAACTTGACTCTTAAAAAAAAAGGACATTTCTAAAACTCCGACACCCTTCGCAACAATCGAGACACAAAAAAATTCACGCGAAAAGGAGACTTTCAGACTCATCAAAAAAGCTGCCGAGAAGTCGAGACTCAGGCCAAAGTATTATGAATATAATAAAACAATTATTGAATTCGGCTTTCGTAGGATAAGAATCTTGCAGATCTCGGAGGAGGTTATGCACCCAGCTAGGCATCCTGCTCGATCTGCATAATTCTTCACATCCTACGAAAGCTGAGTTCAATATGTGCAAGAGAGAACGAGGCAATTTGCTAATGGTAATAACAATTGCTTCTGTTGCGCTTGTTGGAATTCAGCTCAAATCACATCTAAGTAAGTGGGGGAACAGCGTTTCAGCACACAGAGTGGAAAAAAAATGCAACGTCACAGGGGATGCCCAAATTAAATCACAGCGGCGATCGCCATCCTCAACCAGGCGGGAAAAAAGAGGGGACTGTAAACTAGCTTGAATTTCAGCCGTCTCCACGAGTCGCAAACTCCTCCTTGCGACTCGAGGAGACGTCTGAAATATCAGGCTGATTTAGACTGTTCACAGTCCTCTATTTTTCCGTAAGATCATCGAGATCGAGAGCTTTGCGTTACGGGCTACCCATCTTGCAGGAGTGTCAAAACTACCTAGAGGGCGGGGGCGGTTTGGGAGGAAGCGAAACTCTATTTTTCTCGCCCTCCCCCCCCTCCGAGCTATAATCCCCGACGCCCGCCCCCTCGGTAGAATTGAAAATCAAGATAGCCGTGACGGTAAGACGCGGTATATCTAAACGATCTCACGGAAAAATAGAGGACTGTGAACAGTCTAAGGCTGATTGTAAACAGTATAGAAACTACTACGAATGTGAGTATTGTCAACTAAAATCGAAAGACAGGAGCCCCTTAGCTATTCTTAAGTTCACAGAGCCTAGTCTGTAAGTAACTCATGTCAACCTCAAGAAAGCAAAGCACCAAGTAAGCACATGTCGGTTATATATAACTATTTGTTCGCTTGACATGAGTTACTTAATTACCGACTTGGCTTGACATGACATACTGCACCGACATTTCAGACCATCGCAGAACCGTAAATGGTTAACCGCCAAATGATTAACTCATGGCAAACAATTACAAGAGCTGGCTGTGTGAGAAAAGCTTGAAACCCCCTCCTCGCGACGCATTTTAATATATTTTGAATTCAGAAGCAAGCCTTCACTCATTACTGTCATTTGCATGGACCCTCACTCGCCCAACAAATTGTTTGCGACAAAATATTGTTTTGTCATACTCGGAGATGAGTTTCTTTTCCTTAATCATTTCTTTATTTTTCGTTTTTTTTTGTTATTTTATGTTATTTTTGTTATTATTAATTTTTACAAAAACTATGTTATTATTATCATTTTATTTAATTATTATTCTTTTTTTATGAAAATTACTTTTATTTTTTCATGTTCCGGGATGTTCCGGGATGTCCCGGAATGTTCCATGTCCCGGGTTTTATCGACGCCCGTGACATTTAACATCCTGCAAAAACTACTCACGAGCTGGGCCCACTGAACGTGACAGAACATTGCAGGAAACCTTCAAATTCACGGACAAAAGAAAATCGCTTTTAGTTATTCAGGTCCAGGAGGCACTTTGGAGAAAATTAAACAATTTTAATTTTATTTAGCCGCAATGAAGAACTTTACGTTTCAAAAGAGGTCAAAGTAAATACTTTTGCATCAGAGGGCAAATCATGCAGGCCAGAAACAAACCGTCGAAAATCCTTGTGTAACGACCTCTCAGTATGAAACAAGAAGCAAAAAAAAATGCGCATTTGCTCAGTAGAATCGTAGATCCCTCCACAGCATAATCTACCCGCTAGAGAAAAAATTCATTGCAACAAGCAGCATTTTGGCACGAGGTAAAAGTCTTGTGTCGCCTACCGATCCCGTTTTACACACTGCATATGCCAGGTAACTGAAACAGCGGTGATTTTCCAAAGCCGGCCGGCAAGACCGCCAATATGTCTTTCCTTTGAATAAAATTTACAATGCCCTCTATTAGTCTTATTACCTCCACACCATATAATGGAACGTTCCAACGACTTCGGCTATTGCCTTATCTAAATCTTCTGTTCGTGCAGTCATGTGATTTTTCCAATTCTCTTCCAAAAAGTGAAAACTTACGTGAATTCAAACCACCCGCATCCCGATCACGCACCTATTGTGATTGTAATCCAAACAGAGCATATGAAACATTCGACGTCTCCAAGGAAAGAGTCAGCAAAACATCCAAATTCTGGATGTTTTGGAATAAGCGGGATTGTAATTGGCTAGGTGCTATCAAAGAGATGGCGCTCTGGTCCAGAGGCTTCTCGCGCGGGTCACTTTTTAAGACCTGACCGAAACCAGAAACGAAAAGTCTCTGGCACCCAGGCACCCAGGGTGCTTTAAACGGGAAATTTAATTATGCCTTACTATTCCTCCGCAATTACATTTATAAGTCTAAATTAAGCGAGGAAACTCTACTCCTCCCGAAATTTGTTAATAGATTCAATCTACGATACTGCATAGAATGCAGATAATAAAAAATAAGAGAAATACCTCTGCTGTGGTTTGTTTTTTCCATGTCTACGATAAGAATAGGCTTAACAATCAGCATTAGATATCTAGTTTAAATAATACAACACTACTAATTATTTAATGTATTCATCAAGTACCCTTTTTCTTTTCCATTTATATATGTAAATATTGTGTACTTTCCGTGTTAATGAAGCATTTAAAAAAAAAAAAATGTCTGGATTTGCGTGAAATTGTCCGGGAATGGTAGTTTTAAACACTTGAGTTTCGTTTGCTCAAGAAAAGCGCTGAAGGTAAAATAGGCTTTTTTCACTTTGTACCATTCATCCTTTAACTCAGGAGTCCCTGCAGCAGCAGAGATCACAGATTTACCAAAAGAAACAAAGGATGTTATAATCACCCTAAAGTGGAGAGAGGCTGAAAAAAATGGAGCCCCTATCACCCAGTACACTGTGTACCGAAGAACTGTCCATGAAGATGGCACATCATTGAGTTGGATTAAATTAAAGGAGATTACAGATACTTCATATCGTAAAGTTGTTGTTATCTTGGAAAAAGGCAAAGAATATGAATTTGTAGTTACTGCCAAAAACGAGTTTGGAGAAGGAGGGAAAGAAGAGGGCAAAATTAAAAAAATCAAGGTATTAGGAGGTAAGTGTCGTGTTCTCTGGCCTGGGCATCGTAACTTCCTTTACATTCTATGTATAATTTTAAGAAAACATACTTAAAATTTCGAACAACACGAGACCCAAAGCGCCAGAAAAGGAGACTCAGATTTGCAAGAAGTTTGGTGTTTATTGGGCCCACATTCAATGAGATAAAGAAAAACATTTCGTGAAACATTTACTGAGAAATATGTAGACGTCTGGGTAGTGTGTCAGGCAATACACACGTCTCTTAGTAAATTCGAGTTTTTTAATGAGCTCCATTTTGTTCTATATAGCCCCGATTGGCACAAAACTTGAGAATTTTGAAGCTCGGTTTGCTCTTTTTGGTTATTTGCATGGGTTTCGTGTTGTTCTCGTACACAGCCACACTTATATAATTTAATATCAGTAGGCAATGTGGGGCATTAGACTCCATCCAATAGCTATTTAATACTCAGTATCCGTTTGGCTGAACTGTGAACATGTGGGCTAGTTCTTTCTCTTATAATTCACTTTTACTTTGTCTCGCCCTGTGTAACCCTGTGTACACTCAAAACAAAGGGAAAAGCGTGCTCTTAACAAACGGATTCCATGTTGCCGTGCGCCTGTTCAGTAATAGATCACAGACGATGTCAAAATGTGGTATAAGCGAAAAGTCGCTGAAGATGTTTTTACCACATTTTTAAGTCCTCTGTCTCTTATGAACAGACCCTTGAAATATGTTCGGCTTATACAATGAGCAGAGAAAAAAAAAACATCAACTTGCCTCGTACCGCTCGCACACTAATCTATGTCCTTAATCTGAACATAATTCATCTAGAAAAATACAGTTGATCAATATTCATGAATATTTGCTCTGGAAAATTGGAATGAAGGACTAAAAATGACTTTGAGACCGCATTAAGTGTTTGTATATGCGCGTAGCCGCCTATAATTATAAACGTAGCCAAATGTGGGCATACATTTAATTTTATTCACAACTGGCCAATCATTATCAAAGCCGAAATTATACCCTCTCAAATTCCAGTTTTATTTGCAATATCAGTTCCTGCTGAGAAAGTGGTACTCTAGTTATTTAAGGAAGAACGAGAGAACTTTTTTAAGTAGTAAATTTCCATCCCTGTGAAAAAATTGACAGCTTTGTGATATTTCCTTGTGCGAAAGGTGTCCCGTCAGCAGTGGCCTTCACATACGAATTAAAAGCGGATGAAATAACCTTAAAATGGGAGGAACCAGACAAAAACGGAGCAGAAATCACAATGTATACTGTGTACCATGGAACCCAAAGTGATGAGCAGTGGAAAGACACTAAAAAGATAACTGATATCTCACTTCGTAAATACGTTGTGAAAGTCGAAATGGGCCAGAAGTATAGAGTACTGGTAACAGCAAGCAACAAGTATGGAGAGAGTTCTAAGGAAGGGAAGATACAACGTGTTGACGTACCGGAAGGTGGGTTAAGCGCAAGTTTAACTGAAAGAGTGTATCCCCAGGGAAATACACAGTAGATGACTATATACACAGTAGATCGTTCAGTGATGTTCACTATAAACCTTTTTAGCTTGTAGGTTTTATTTTCATATTTCAGACCATGTGATGTTTCCCCAGAGAATTCTTTCTTTTAAATGTTTAACGGTAATCCTTACAGATATTATGCCCGTTTTAGAGACGGAACATCCGTCTCAGACGGATAATCCATCTCTAGTGTGAAAACGGCTAATAAAAACCAGTTCCTTACAGTAGCAAAAGCTACTGACCAAAAAATCCACAGCTTTCAACTGAGCTTCGTATCGCAGCCATTGGCCGTATTTACACTTATAGAGACGGATGATTCGTCTGAGACGGGTTATCCGTTGGACAATTCGCGTCAGGGAATACGTCTTAATTTAAAAATGGAACGGTCTTAATTTTCGGATGAAAAAACCGCCTGACTTTATGCATCTATTTTTCCGTCAATTTTGACGGATTTTGAAGATGGATTATCCGTCTCTAGTGTGAAAACGGCCATTGTGTGCTATTCAATTTAAATTAAGGTAGCAAAAAATTGTAGATAAAACGCTGTTCATAAAAGTGATTAGACAGTAACTCCAACTTTGCGATAATGCTTCCCTTATTGATCTATTGAACCATTCATGAAATGTGAATCGTTTATGCTTTATAGGCCAGGCAGTTAGTACCAAGATAGGATTAATACGAAAATAATCGTTAAATAAGTAACTTAAAAGGAAATAGTTGCCAGACTGGCCGACGGAGAATGTCAAAAGGTGAATTATAAGTTATTTGTGAGCGCTCAAAAAGCAACCCTCGCGGCACTTAATCTTGCTCTCTGAGAATTAGTTTTTGACTACCGTTACAAGAAGTTTCAGTTAAAAATAACCAAACGAACAGGTTTGACTGTAAATCGGTCCCATGTAACACGTTAGAATGATAGTATTCTTAAATATTTTTCTCAGGTTCCTTCAAACCAACTGGAGGCCAAACAGGTGAGTTGCTGTTACTCAAGGCGGAAAGAGAACCATGGTTAAACTGCGCTTGTTCTCACCTGCACCAGTGCCATAATGTTTTTTCTTCTGTAAAATCAGAAATGCTTGAAGGGCAATACATGCAATATTATAAAATACAGACTCTTCAGAGCTAGGCCGTTGGATACTGTATCTTCTGTATCCTCTCTTTCTACTTATAGCATTAGGATAGTGCATCTGTCTGTCGCCGCGCTATTGCTTACAACTAACAGCAAACATTTCGTTTTAGGTTCCCAGTGTGGTAATCAAAAGGAAATCGTTCATGCTGTTTATATCACCATCATCTGTCTTTTGTTAATAAGTAATCTTATTCTGATATTCGTCGTCTGCCGAATGTGCACCCGTTCAGGTAATTGGGTTTTTATATTAAACGTATTTTTCTTGTTTCTAATTCTTTACCGAATTCGCCACGGTGACTCAACATGCTGAACATACAGTAGATGATACAGGACTAAAAGTCCCAATTGGTATCCGACCCCTTCATGACCCATTCAGCAGTTGGTATAAGCTCAGTTTCTTTTGCAAGGCTTTAAGATTTTTTCAATTCTTAGAACATCATTTCGCTTTAAAACTGGATTTTAGAGGCTTTTTCCAATTTTCAGATCCTGCCGCAAAGTGGGTGCGGCCATAATTTCGTATGTTTCGTTATCACTATGGTTGTTACAAGAAAAAGACAACCTGGATGTAGTAGAAGTGAATGCGTCAATAAAAATCCCTGAAAGGTTTGGTAAATGCTGCGAGGACTAAAGATACTCACATGCTGTATTTTGTTACGAGCTCCAGAGATATATCAATAACTAGTTGTCAAAGTGTTTACAAACTGAACAAGTCTGAACATATTTTTGTTTCAGAAAAGGGACGTGAGAGAAGGTAAGTAATTATAGTTTTCTCGGATTCATCGCCCCTGCGAAAATATAGAGAGATGATGTATGCAGTTTGTCAGCAAAAAACTTGTTTAGGAAGAATTCAGCTATACAATAGTCACTGACGCTGCAGTTTGCAGTAAACCAGGTGACTTACCGTTGTTTTACCTTACCGTGGGATGTAAGGTTGTACTTTATGTTTCCAGAAATGCTGGGAATCCAAAATAAAAGTTGAGTCTTACATCATAAACAATCTCAGCAAATATTGTTTATAATAAGGGTCATGTCATAGGCAATTAAAGGTTATGTGACTTCAGGCAGATCGAGAGAAGCTTAATAACGTCTCGCTGGCACAAATTATAGACTAAACGTTTTTTGAGTACTATTTACTTTCTTGTCAACAGAAATTGTCCACGATGCGGAGATCTTCTCGCAATGGCAAGTTAATACGTTATTGCTAAGGGTATTTGTGCACAACGTATGGAATTTTGGGCGCGATGAAAGCTATGAACCAGTGGTGGTGGGTGGATGGAGGGAAGGGGAGGATAGAAAAACCCCTGTCGTTTTGCCTTGTCAAGCCCTATAAGCTCACCCACGATGTGCCTACGTCTAACCTTAGGTCATGAAATAGGCCAGAGCAAAGCAAAGTATCGTTGCCTGGAGAATATATTTCCGAGGTTCTCTTCTCTTTTTTCAGCAAATGACGGAAAGCTTGATTGGACGCTCCGTATAAAACTTGAACTCAGAACGTTTCTTTACGATATTTGCCATTATGATATTTAAAACAAAGAGATGCACAGCATACTAATTCATTTGATTCAGTCAATCATTTGTCAATCACTTTAATTGTATGGTTTACTGGCCTCTTTAAAAAAGGCACTTTACAGTTGAGCGTTGTTGTTTTACTGATGAATCTTGTCTCACAATGTTTGACAATAGAATCCCATTGCTGTTAAAGTAGAGGCTGATACACAATTCTTCGATGTGGAGCGAACATTTGAAGCCCCGACCCATGCATCCACAGCAAGTGCAGATTACATGCCACTTCATCCCTCAACGAGAAGCTGGGAGATCAGTCGCAGACAGGTCAACATAGTTAAAGTCATTGGTAAAGGGGCTTTTTCACAAGTTGCCAAGGCGACAGTAAACGACATGCGTGGAAGCCAGGATAACTTGACAGTAGCAGTAAAAATGCTTAAAGGTGTAGTGTAATTTAGTGTACTATATCTAATAAATGGAGATTTGGGTAAGGTTGAGTCCAAAGGTATGTCAATACACTGTACTTAAAAGACATCTCGTTCAGTTGGATGGTTTCGATGCAAACGAAAGAAAAAAGACCTAGTGGACAGAGAACACCGAAAAAAGCTCACTGCAGCAAAACGATTACCTTAATAAAGTAATGGTAAAAAATTAAGAAATTTTTTTTGGGTTCTTCTTTTTAGCAAATGCTCCAGCTTCAGATAAAAAGGACCTTCTGTCAGAACTTGACGTGATGAAAAAACTAAAACCTCATCCCCACGTGATCAAGCTGCTGGGCTGCGTCACAGAAACCGGTAAGGGATGTGTGAAAAGAGTAACGTTTCAGTTTCTTGAAATTTGTGGCAAAAAGCTTTCCTGGGGATGATTATACTGCCAATGATTCGAATGATAGAGCGTTTAAACTAATATGGCCAAAAGTTATAGGAACACCATAATTAGAATAAAAGCAAACGTTTACATAACAGAAGTATTCAATTATTCCCACGGAACAAGTTTGGCACACCGTGGCCGCCGTTCCATTGTTTTGGAACACAGTGTGTTTTTCATGATGTATGCCATATGGAACAATTTAATAGGCAGAACATACTAGAATGGATATATCACTGAGTTGAACAAAGTCAAACAAAGAGAACTAATTCCATAAGTTGAAGTAGATAACTTTAATAGCTTACATATAAACTAATAGAAATGTCAGTAACTTGATTTCCAAATGAACATATGACTTGTTACATTTTTTAAGTATGTTTGAAAGAAATATTGCAAGGTCTCAAAGGAAATGAAATAATGTTCTGGTTAAACCCAGTTTAAATTATGTGGACACTGAGGGGACCATAGAAAGTGTCCGTATTAACTGAGGGCTTTCTTTCCCCAGAGATAGAGCAAACTGTCCGTAATAATAAAGTGTCCGCATTTACGGGATACCTGTAAAGCGGGGTTTCACTGCAATTCAGTGCTTTTTATTTTCGGCCTTCGCTTCTGTTCCCTAAATTGCATCAAAACTGCTTTGATCATACTTCCAGTTAGATTTTGTATTGTCGCAGTTCACATAATGTTCATTGAAAGGTACTAACTTCATTCTATGTCCCTTCATGCGAACAAAATCATGAATATTTGGGGCTCGGAGAGTAAATCGGAGAATTTTCTAATGATATGTCATAAGTGGGAACTCAGGTTTGAAGATTTTCTTATTATATTGGTTACCATAGAGCCGTTGTTGGTTTTAATTGAGTATGTCCCGTACGGTGACCTACTGGGCTACTTGAGGAAGAGTCGAGGACTGAACGACACGTACTTTAAGGACCCGGATATGAAGCCACAGACCAATCTTACAGCAGAACAGTTAATGAAATTCGCTTGGCAGGTCGCAGATGGAATGTGTTACTTATCCTCAAAAAAGGTTTGCTTTAAATGTGATTTAAACTAGAAATAATAATTGAAATTGAGAACTGATATTGGAACTGAAAGATATTATATTATTGACATTTATCTACAAGATAAACCTTTATGGAACATAAGATTGAGCACTCAAGGCTTAATTAGAAGCTAATAAGTGTTAGTCTGACAAACCTTACCCAATTCTAAACAAAACATGTGCTCAAACAATGAATATCACGTAATGAATATATGAATTTCAAATAAATCTACTAAAAACGTTACATAATCGATGTGTCCAGAGATACCAATCCTGTGGGTGTGAAGGGTCCAAGCTCGTTGTGTGAGTTTGTGACCAGCAGCTCTTGTGGCCATTGGTAACAGTCTTTTCTGAACAAGCTGAGCGAGGTGCTCCACTTGCGTTCCTCGTTATATGCAATATATTGTGTGAGAGGTGTAGTAGGAGCAGTCCTTGCCATACTCATAAAAGAGTCTGCTCTATTAGGCGAGTATCAAGGAAACACAGAGTTTCGAAGGCGAACAAGGAGGTACAATCTCACCACATCTCGCATTAGGCACCATGGGGAACTTACACCAGGTGCAGCGCAATCAGGAGGATCTTTGTCTTGCTAATAACTTTCTCCAGCAAAGACCTTTCTCGCGGTTACTCAAAATAGAACAAAAAAGAACCATCGCATCTTTAATTTTTCCTCAAATTAGTACAAAACGGTTTCCTCTATCGTCTCAAGCGACTACAAATTTTAAATTCAGGGTGTGGTGAGTAAAAAAAAAGAGGCTTCTTCCCGTATTAGATAGGATTCCTGTTTTTCTATATCAAGCGATTGTCTTCAACGAAGTGTGATGATAAAAACTTATCAAATTAACTGGCCTCTTCAGATGAGCCCGGTTGCCGGGACCAATTCGTTCAAATGTGAAATTTAAGCCCGGTTTCCAAAATCCTGGCTGGAAAAACCGCGCGCGAGATCTGAGTAACCGAGCCGGCCCACCTCTAGGCCTTTCCCGATTGCGCTGAGCACCTTTTGAG